CTATCGGGCGGGTTTGCGCGGTTTCGGGTCTCGGAGAGTTTTTAGGTCGCTGTGAGTGTCCGGGGCCCCCCTGGTCCCCGATCGTGGTTCCAACTGACAGCTTCTAGAATAAACAGCGCCCCCGCGGCGCCCCTCCCCATCGGAGGCTGTGGTCTTGGGGATGCTGGACTGGAAACGCCGAGTAGGGGGAGGGCAGGCCCCCCAACCCACCGCTCATCTCCCCGGCCGGGAGAGCTGCGCCGTGGGTCCCTGGCCGACTGTTGCATTCGCCCCTTCCTCCTAAGGCACTTGCTTTATCGGAGTGTAGATGCTTCTGGGGTCCTTCATGGAGTTCGGAGACCCCCCTCGAGTGTCAGGGATTGGATTGGAGAGGGAGCCATCCAAGCTGAGTGCACTGTGCTGGCTGTCCGTGGTTTCTGTGTTTTTGAGGGTGTGGCCTGGGAGAAGTTGGACACCAGGACAGGTAATGGGGCGATTGGCAGGACAAATAGTGGGAATACGGTTCCGTTGAATACTTAGCACACCAGCTGTTGCAGCAGTATCTCCCGAAGGAAGATGGGAAATTCGTTTTCAAAACTGCTGGGACTCAACTACAGCAGCGGTGCAGTGATGTGAGTTTGGTCCCAGAGTCTGGAGCGGCTAACCCCTATTCAAAACCTGCTGTAGAAGAGCGATTTGATTTGCTGTGCTCTGAAAAATCTAAGTGAACGTGAGAGCAATTTCTAAATGATTTTTTTTTATTTTTTATTTTTTTTTGGGTCCGGTCGTGGGTCTTGAACTCTGGGCCTGGGCGCTGTCCCTCAGCTCTTCAGCTCAAGGCAGGCGCTCTACCACTTGAGCCACAGTGCCACTTCCGGCCTTTTTCTTTTTTGCTTATGTGGTGCTGAGGAATCGAACCCAGGGCCTCAGGCATGCAAGGCAAGTGCTCTACCACCGAGCTACTTTCCCAGCCCCGCTAAATGATTTTTTCTTAAGTTCCTAGTATGAAACATGTTTTTCCATTCCTCAAGTAGAGTGAACACGTGGTAATGGATATGGCATAAATTTTACAGTCTGATACAAAATGATGGCTGAATTGGCAATTGAAGTAGACTGTTGGAGACCCAACATTCGGCTAAAGAGGTTGAGGGTGTGTGTGTGTGTCTGTGTGTCTAAGTGTAATTTTTTCTTAGTGGTCTGTGCAGTTTACTTTCATCTCTGGTAACACATAGTGAAAAAAATGTAAAAGCTTACAAGTTGCCTTAACTAATGGAAACTTTTTTGGGGGGAGGGGCGTGTCGGCCGTGGGGCCTGAACCCTGAGCCTGGGTGCTGTCCCTGAGCTCTTCAGTTCAAGGCTAATGCTCTACCAAGTGAACCACAGAGACACTTCCGGTTTTCTGGTGGTTTTTGGAGGTAAAGAATCTCACAGATTTTTCTGCCCGGGCTGGCTTTGAACCACGAATCTTAGATCTCAGCCTCCTGAGTGTGAGCCACCAGCGCCCAGCTTGGAAACCATTTTTGTATTAAAAGAAGACAGATGAGTATTAGAACCTTCTTTTGGCATTCCTCTCCCCTTTAGGGTAAGCCAGAGTTGTAGTTAGAAATAAAAACTTGGGATCAGGATAAGTGAAATAAATCATTTTGTTTCAGTCTTCCAGTCCTGTTAGTTCCATATGAATAACAGAAAGATGGTTTTGAAGAGCTTAGTCTTAATCCCTTCTCAACTGCCTAATGAAATGGATAGAATAAGCTGTCTTTCTGAACCACATTAATTAACATGAGTTTGGGACCACCTTCACAGAGCTTTAAGGTTTGATTGCTAATCAGCACATGCTTCTCATGTTCTGCTCGGTATGTTCAGATTCTGAGACTTTATGAACACATGCACATTTGTGCTTTTACTATATATATTTCATAAAACTTTAGGTAACAATTTTGAGAGTTATAAATATGAACTCATCTTTTTCACCCTTCTCACAAGGACCCTTTGAGGTAGGTATTATCCCTCTCCCTTTCCCCAAGGCACAGTGATTAAGTACTAAAGAACGGCAGAGCCGGGCGCTGGTGGCTCACACCTGTAATCCTAGCTACTCAGGAGGCTGAGATCTGAGGATCATGGTTCAAAGCCAGCCCGGGCAGGAGAGACTGTGAGACTCTATCTCCAATAAACCACCAGAAAACCGGAAGTGGCGCTGTAGCTCAAGTGGTAGAGCGCTCGTCTTGAGCTGAAGAGCTGAGGGACAGCGCCCAAGCCCAGAGTTCAAGCCCCACGACCGACAAAAAACAAACAAACAGACAAACAAATAAAGAGCGGCAGTTTGGATAAGAATCAGTCTAGTTCTAGAAGTAGCTCCCTTTCTGCCCCCAAATGAAATTTTGCTGTGTTGCCCAGCCCAACTTCTGGGGTCACTCTGTCTTCTTGCCTCAGGCTTATGCATAGCAGAGACTGTAGGAAAGTGCCAATATGCTGGGTTTAGAATCAACTTTTAAATTGTATAACCACATCCTAGCTCAAGGGTTCTAAGGTAGTAAAATCCTGCAGTCTTGTGACTATTTTTGTGCTGGTTCTGAGGCTTGAGGTCTGGGAATTGTCTCTGGACTTTTGTGCTCAAGGCTAGTGCTCTGCCACTTGAGTGATAGTTTCCGTTCTGACTTTTTTTGATAGTTAATTGTAGATAAGAGACTAATGGACTTTCTTGCGTGGGCAAGATCCTCCGATCTCAGCCTCTTGAGTATTTAGGATTATAAAATTGTGAGCCACAGGTGGCCAGCTGTTTTTTGTTTTTTTGAAATCTTGCAGTACTTTTCCTTTTTATCTTCAATTTAAAAATATTCCCAGGTGAAGTGTTAGTATTTTGTATAAAGTACTAGGATTTGGGCTGGGAAGGTGGCTCAGTGGTAGTGTTTGCCTTGCATGCATGAGGCCCTGGGTTCGATTCCTCAGCACCACATAAGCAGAAAAAGCCAGAAGTGGTGCTTCTGTGTCTCAAATGGTAGAGTGCTAGCCTTCAGCTGAATTGCTGAGGGACAGCACCCAGGCCCAGAGTTCAGGCCCCACGACCGACAAAAAAAAAAAAATACTAAGCTTTGAATTCTTGGCTTTCCACTTGACAGGCAGGCATTTTACCATTTGAGCCATGTCACCAGCTCTCTTTGCATTAGCAGTGTTTTCTGAATAGGATCTTGCTTATATGTAACTGCCACTTATACTTAAACCTCCTAGAACTTCCTAGTTAGGATGAGAGGTGTATACTCTCAGCTTTTTATCTGTTGAGATAGGCTCTCATGAGCTTTTTGGACAGCCTGGCTTTGAACTGCAGTCCCACTAACCTTATCCTCCTAAGTAGCTAGATTACAAGGTATGAGCCATGTTGCCTGGCTTCATTATTTCTGTCATGTGGAAAAGGCTTCATGAAGGAAGAGTTTGTTTCCAGATGGAGGAAGCTAGGTTTTAAATTGAACTTCCTCTGTGAGAAGATGGTTAGGGCCATGGTAGAATACTTACTTAATTTGTCAGGGTAAGGAATTTTCAATTTTTATGAGTAGAACAACTGAAAGCTTCTGAGCCTCTGTCAGACAATGTTGTTAGAACGAGCTGTCTGGTGGTTGTGGCTAGTCAACTAAAGAATAGGCTAGCCAGAAGCTGGTGGCTCATGCCTGTAATCCTAGCTGCTCAGGAGGCTGAGATCTGAGAATCATGGTTCAAAGCCAGCCTGGGCAGGAAAGTCCTTGAGACTCTTATCACCAGTAAACCACCAGAAAACTGGAAGTGGTACTGTGGCTCAAGTGGTATAGCATTAACCTTGAGCTGAAGAGGTGAGGGACAGTGTCCATGCCCAGAGTTCAACCCTCCCCCCCAAAAACAAAATAAAAGAGTAGGCTAGAGATAAAGCAGAGATATCAGTGAAGAAGCTGTTGAGTATTCTTGGTTACAATTGAAAGCCAAATAATAGTGGTGTACAAATGGGTAGGAGACATAGGTTAAAGATTTTTATAAATTGGAATTTGTGACATAGTTATGCTAGAGTTGCTTATCATCATAATGGCTTAGCTAATCTTTGCTTGTTTGATTCTTTTTTTTTTTTTTTTTTTGGGTCCGGTCATGGGGCCTGAACTCTGGGCCTGGGCGCTGTCCCTCAGTTCTTCAGCTCAAGGCTAGCGCTCTACCACTTGAGCCACAGGGCTACTTCCAGCTTTTATTCTTTTTGCTTATGTGGTGCTGAGGAATCGAACCCAGGGCCTCATGCATGCAAAGCAAAGCGCTCTACCACTGAGCCACCTTCCCAGCCCCATAATCTTTGTTTCTTATTCTTTTATTACGTTGTATTTCCTTTTATAATGCCTTTCTTTTTTCTTTTGTCAGTGGTGGAACTTGAACTCAGGGCCTGTGTGCTGTCCCTGAGCTTTTGTGCTCATCACCCCAGCTTGATGCCTTTTGTCTTTGAAGGGATGCATTTTCCTTTTGTATCTTGTCTAAATTTTGCCAGATGTTGAAAATGCTAGTGACTTCATTTCTGTTGTTCCAGGCTTTCCTGACCTTAAGAGTTTTTCCTTGGTCAAAAAATGCCCATTGTTGGGTTGGGAAGTTGGCTCAGTGGTAGAGTGCTTGCCTCACATGCATGAGGCCCTGGGTTCGATTCCTCAGCACCCCAGAAGCAGAAAAAAGCCGGAAGTGGCGCTGTGGCTCAAGTGGTAGAATGCTAGCCTTGAGCTTAAGAGCTGAGGGAGTGCCCAGGCCCAGAGTTAAGCCCCCAGGATCAACAACAACAAAAAAGCCCATTGTCTTTCCTAAATCTTGCCTGTTTTTCAAGCACCCAGCTTTGTTTCATAAAGCTTTTACTAATAATCAGCTACATTAAACAATAGAATTCATTTTCCACCTTTATTTGGTTAAAACTACTTTGAGGCCTCTGAAGGGCCAAGAGCTTCCCAACAGATACAGCAAGTCTGTGCTGCTTTCCTATGAACAGAGAAGGAATCATTTCAAAAGTGTTTATTTAGTACCCTTACTTACAAAATGTGACACAACTTAAAAGCCTTGCAAAGCCAGTGACAAGACTTCTGCTGTACTTGTTACTGGCTTTTATAGTATTTCTTTACTAATTTTTTTTGCACATAACAGTATTTTTTTTATCTAATAGTTTGGTCCTTTGGTATAATCATTCGGTATAATCATTGTTGACTATGATACCGGTAATGCTCCAAGTGTTAGAGTAATAGGTATGTTGGAAAATGTGTTGAGTCTTCTGTCATTTAGCCTTGTGTTTATTCTTTTAAAATTTATTACTTTTGATGCAGCTCTCAATCATGACTAAAAAAAGAAAACGCCAAGATGATTTTCAAAAAGTAAAACTAAAAGTTGGTAAAAAGAAGCCCAAATTAGAAAATGCTACTGCTACAAACTTTAGAACAAAGACAATACATCTGCCTGAACAACTCAAAGAAGATAGAATACTTCCAACAAACAATAGAAAACTTAACATAAAGGTAAATTATAAGTCTTGTATTGATAAAGTAAGATTTTCTTTGAAGTCACATTGAATCTTTTTGTGAAAAGTTGTTTTAAAAAGCTGGAAGTGGCACTGTGGCTCAAATGGTAGAACGTTAGCCTTGAGCTGAAGAGCTGAGGGACAGCGCCCAGGCCCAGAGTTCAGGACCCATAACTGATAAAAAAGAAAAAAGAAAAGTTGTTTTATGTTTTGTCTATGGTCACAGGGTTTATGGATAGAGGACTTTGGGTTTATCTGTTACCCTTTTCATCTGATCTTGGAACTTGCAGAAAATGTGCTTTCAGAAAATATTGCTAAGTGAAACTCATAGTGATTTCTCCTTAGTGTACTCATTTGGTGATCTAACATATATCACCTGAAAAAAAATTTGTAGTTTTAACTTTCTGTTAAAGTGTGTCAACTTATTGATTGGTTGAGACAGTTTTTTTGTTTTTTTGTTTTTTTTATCATGGCCTAGAAATTGTTGAATAGTTCAGGTTGGCCTTGTACTCTTATTTCTTGGGGTACCAAGTTTTTGGTAAGTAGTTAAGATAAGAACCTTTTTTTTTTTTTAAATGTCAGTACTGGGGCTTGTTCTCAGGGCTGGGGCACTGTCCATTAGCCTTTTGCTAAAGACTGACACTCTACTATTTGTGTTATGGCTCTACTTCCTGATTTTTAGTGGTTAATTTTTTATAAGAGTCTCGTATTTTTCTGCCCAAGCTGACTTTAAACTGATTCTCAGATCTCAGCCTCCTGAGTAGCTAGGATTATAAGTGTGAGCCACTGGTACCTGGCTGTATTCATTTTTGAACCTGTGTATCACAGTTTATCATGTATTATAGCATAGATTGAGTAACCCTTCTTCAAAGTGTTTAGATTCAGAAGGGTTTTTGATTTTAGATTTGAGGGCATTTGCATATGCATTATATGCTATCTTGTGGAAAGGACTGAAATCTAAACACAAAGTTCATGTGTCATATACACTTAATACATATAACTTGAAATTTTATATGATATTTTTAGTGTGTTTGTTTTTGATGGCTATGCATCATGTGAGGTCAGGTGTAGAATTTCCCACATGTGTTATGCTACTCAAAAGAGTTTCAGATTTAGTAGCATTATGGATTCTGGATTTTTGAATTAGGAATGCTCAAGCTGCAAATGCTTTAAGTGTGAGCAATAATTTTGCATAAAAGTTTCACAGTTTTATTGGTATATAGTTTACCCATGATAAAATTCACTCATCTAAAATATACATTTCTGGGGCTGGGAAGGTGGCTCAGTGGTAGAGCGCTTGCCTTGCATGCAAGAGACCCTGGGTTCGATTCCTCAGCACCACATAAGAAAAAGCCAGAAGTGGTGCTGTGGCTCAAGTGGTAGAGCGCTAGCCTTGAGCTGAAGAGCTGAGGGACAGTGCCCAGGCCCAGAGTTCAGGCCCCACGACTGGACCGCCCCCCCAAAAAAAAATAAATTAATTATACATTTCCATGGTTTTTACAAAATTCAGTTAGGCCACTATGTAATATTAGAACATTTTTTGTTGCTCTAGAAAAAAAACCTGTACCCACTTGAAGTTACTTTTCATTCTTTGCTCCCATGCTGAGATAACCACTACTAACCTACTTTCTGTGTATATAGTTTTGATGTTCATCCATCTTGTAGCTTATATCAAAACATTATTTCTTTACATTGTCAAGCTGTACTCTACATTGCAGTTGTGCCATATATTGTTAATTATTCATGGCTCTTAGGAATAATGCTATGATGATGTCATTTGTGTACAAGTCTTAAGATAAAAACTTTTTTGAGTCTTGCCTTTTAGCTCCGATGAATAAATAATAACAGCATATCTGAAGTTACATGTTTAAAAGGGTTGCATAAATTATTCTATGAATCAAGTTGTTTATTGGCATCCTCTGAAGAAAAACCAACATTCCTTAAGGAATATCATTTAAAATGAGCAGAAGAGGCTTGTTAAATTTGGAGTTTATAAAAATGAATCGATTAAGCTGGGCGCTGGTAGCTCACGCCTGTAATCCTAGCTACTCAGGAGGCTGAGATCTGAGGATCCTGGTTCAGAGCCAGCCTGGGCAGTAAAGTCTGTGAGACTCTTATCTCTAGTTAACCACTAGAAAACTGGGAGTAGTGCTGTGGCTCAAATGGTAGAACACTAGCCTTCAGCTGAAGAGCTCAAGGACAATGCTCAGGCCCAGAGTTCAAGCCCCCACAACCAACAAAAAAAAATTTAACTGATAAACTTTTTATTATGCTAAAAATATTTTTAGGATAAAACAATTTAAAAAGTACTTATTCATATACTTTGTCCAAGGAGTGTCAGTTACTAGAATAGTTTTAGTTAGCATCTTTATTTGAAAATGATATATATTTACATTTCAAAATCTGTATTTTTATTTATAGGATCTGCTGTCACAGATGCATCACTATAATCCTGGGGTTAAACAAAGTGCTCTTCTTGGACTTAAAGACCTTTTGTCTCAATACCCATTTATAATTGATGCACACCTTTCAAACATATTAAGTGAAGTGACTGCTGTATTTACAGATAAAGATGCTAATGTACGATTAGCAGCAGTTCAACTTCTTCAATTCCTGGCCCCCAAAATACGAGCTGAACAAATTTCTCCATTTTTTCCTTTGGTAAGTGCCCATCTCTCTAGTGCCATGACTCACATTACTGAAGGAATTCAGGAGGACTCTTTAAAAGTTTTGGACATTCTGCTGGAACAGTACCCAGCTCTAATTACTGGACGTAGCAGCATATTGCTTAAGAATTTTGTAGAACTTATTTCTCATCAGCAGCTGTCAAAAGGACTGGTAAATAGAGACAGATCTCAGTCCTGGATGCTCTCTGTAAATCCTAATCGGAGACTCACTTCTCAGCAGTGGAGGCTGAAAGTCTTAGTGAGACTTGGTAAATTCCTTCAGGCCTTGGCAGATGGATCCAGTAGGTTGAGAGAAAGTGAAGGACTTCAGGAACACAAAGAAAATCCCCATGCCACTAGCAACTCCATTTTTATCAACTGGAAGGAACTTGCCAACGACCAGCAGCACATCCAGGTTTATGAAAATGGGGGTTCACAGCCAAATGTCAGTTCACAGTTCAGGCTACGGTAAGAAGGATTTCAGTTATGTCCACACTCAGTTTTCCTATATTGAATTCTAACTGCTGGCCATTGATGGCTAATGGTGGGAAGATAAGCAATTGTCTTTCATAACTTTCATAGTTTCATTTTATTTCATGGGAGGAATCATTTGAAAATATATTTATTGATGCTTTGTTGCAAAGCTTAATGAGAAATAAAACTTAATCTCTGTTGGCTTTGCCATTTTAGAATTATGTTTTTCCTACTAGCCTTGATCAATATAATTACTAGTTCAAGGTGCTTTATTTTATTGCTGTTTTATATTTAAAATTTAATCAAAAGGACAGTGCATTTTTTAAATTACTAATTTTCTCTTTTTTCCTTATCAGGTACTTAATTGGAGGACTAGGCAATGTGGATGAAAGCCTGACATCTTCTGAAAGCCTGAAAGGGTTTATTGAAATAATAATCCCATTGCTAATTGAATGCTGGATTGAAGCTGTGCCTCCACAGTTTGCCACTTCTGTTGGAAATGGTATAGAGCGAGAACCTCTCCAGGTTATGCAGCAGGTCCTTAATATTATTTCCCTTCTGTGGAAACTCTCAAAACAACATGATGAAACACATAAATTGGTGAGCACTAATAGGTCTTTTATATATTTAACTTTCTTGGTGAAATGCAGAAAATTTGCTGGATTCTATTTTTTGAATTAATTACAATTTACAGTAGTGTTAAAAATGTGTTACGGCAGATTATGTTGGAACATAAGATTTAAAAAGTTGCTTATTGGGCTGCGAAGGTGGCTCAGTGGTAGAGAGCTTGCCTTGCATGCATGAGGCCCTGGGTTCGATTCCTCAGTACCACATAAGCAAAAAGAAAAAAGCCGGAAGTGGTGCTGTGGCTCAAGTGGTAGAGCGCTAGCCTTGAGCTGAAGAGCTGAGGGACAGCGCCCAGGCCCAGAGTTCAGGCCCCACGACTGGACCCCCCCCCAAAAAAAATGGGATGACAAATGGGATGACATTTTATTAATTACCAATTTAAGCCTTTTAAGATTCACTGCATAAATAGGCAAAAAAACTAATCATAGATTAGGACTACAGAGTAAGACACTGAAAAAGCAGTTGATTTATAATATAGGCTTCTGATAGTAAAAAAACAAAAAACAGTATCTTCAATCTTGGAACAGTTCAGAGAGTTGCTGAGTTAAGGTGGCTTGACAAATTTTTTTCTACTGTGTAGTGCAACAGTACAGTACAGTAATTCTGATTTTTCACCTTCAATATGGTATGGAATAAATTACTTGATATATTTAATACTTTATTATAACGTAGACTTTGGTGAGATAATATTGCAAAATTGGAGATTACTACAAATATGCTGAACACATTTGAGGCAGGCTAGGCTAAGCTTTAGTATATTAGGTGCATTGTATGTATTTTTGGTTTAGGATATTTTCCACTAACATAGGAGAACCTTCCCAAATTGGGCCAACTGTATTTTCATGTGAAAGGCTAAGAAAGAATGAAAATGTCATATACATTAACTCAATACCAGTCTTTTTTTTTTTGTCTGTTGTGGGGCTTGGACTCAGGGCCTTGGAGCTGTCCTTGAGCTTTTTTGCTCAAGGTCAGTGCTCTGCAGCATTACTTCTGATTTTCTGTTTGTTAATTGGAGATAAGTCTCACAGACTTTCCTGCTCTGGCTGCTTCAAACCATGATCCTCAGGTCTCAGCTGCCTACTAGCTTCTTATAGTTGCCTTAATATAGTCTTTCTAGAGAGCTTAGTAACAAAAGTTCCGTTTCTTTGAAATTTAGTTACATATGAACACCAACAAACTTTTGTTTGTATTTTATTTTATTATTATTTTTTTTGGGTCCGGTCGTGGGACCTGAACTCTGGGCCTGGGCGCTGTCCCTCAGCTCTTCAGCTCAAGGCTAGCGCTCTATCACTTGAGCCACAGCGCCACTTCTGGCTTTTTTTCTTTTTGCTTATGTGGTGCTGAGGAATTGAACCCAGGGCCTCATGCATGCAAGGCAAGCGCTCTACCACTGAGCCACCTTCCCATCCCCTTATTTGTATTTTAGTAGTAGTATTTGATTTAGATAGAGTAGTAGGATCAAAGTACAAAATATACAAGTTTGTTGTATGTTAGTTTGGGATCATATACTATACCTGAAGGATATAAATGCCACTTTAACTTTGTATTAATATCTAGAACCGTATGCTTTAGACCTATTTTGTATTAGTCTGTTATGGCTGTTTATTGGCATTTCATTAACATGGGATTAAGTTTAAGACTTGCAGACAAAAATACTAAATTGAAATATTGCATAAAGCTTAAATGAGGGGATTAATTCAAATAGAAATCGTGTGTGTAGTTGGGTGTCCATAGCTCATGCCTAGCTAGTCAGAAGTCTGAGATCTGAGGACCGTGGTTCAAAGCCAGCCCTGGCAGTGTTAGAGTGCTCGCCTTGAGCAGAAGAGCTCACGGACAGCACCTAGGCCCAGAGTTCAAGCCCCACGGCAGACCAAAAAAAAAAAAAAATAAATAAATAAAATGGCATGAGAGAGCTTTTTTTTTCCTTTTCTTTTCTTTTTTTGGTCAGTCGTGGGGCTTGAACTCTGGGCCTGGGTGCTGTCCCTGAGCTCTTCAGCTCAAGGCCAGTGCTCTGCTACCTGCACCTCAGCGCCACTTCCAGTTTTCTGGTGGTTATTTGGAGATAAGAGTCTCACAGAGCCTACTCCGGAGGCTGAGATCTGAGGGTCATTGTTCAAAGCCTGTAGGGTAGGAAAGGCCTTGAGACTTATCCAGTAAACCACTAGAAAACCCCGGAAGTAGCTCTCCTTGAGCTGAAGAGCTGGAGGGATAGCACCCAAGCAAGCCCAGAGTTCAAGCCCCATAACTAACAAAAAAAAAAAAAAAAGTTCACAGCCCAGGCAGGCTGTGAACTGTGATCCTTACATCTCAGCCTCTTGAGTAGCCAGGATTATAGGCTTGAGCCACTGGTGCCCAGCCATGAAAGAACTTTTTAATTGATTTTCTTACCATTCCCACTACTCCTTGTCATATGTTTACTAAAATTGCTTGACCTATGTAACTGCTTAATGTTTATGAAGAACAAAATGGCCTTCCTTGTCCTTTAAGCACACAGTGGCAACACAGAGTGAATTGTAACATTGTCTCTGGCTTCTTTTTGATCTCTGTTTCCTGAGTTGCTAGGATTATAGGCATGAGCAATTATGCTCAGTTTTAGTTTTTTGTTTTTTTGTCGAATGGGGGACTTGAACTTGACCTGGGTGCTGTCCCTCTCAGCTTTTCAGCTCAAGGCTAGCGCTCTACCACTTGAGCCACAGCATCACTTCTGGCTTTTTCTACTCTACAACTGAGCCACCTTCCCAACCCTCAAGTTTTTTTTTTTAACTATAGTAATTTGAAAATTTGATCCTTGCCTTGAAAAGAAATCTCAAGGTACATTATATCTTAGGACATTAATTGAATACTACAATTCTTACCGAAGTTGCTTATACCTTTGTTTTTTAGGAGCCTGTATTAATAGCATCAGGGCCAGTATAATAATTACTCAGCACAAAAATTTTTGTGTTTTTAATGAGCACTTTCTTTTTCTATATTCCATTGTTGTGATCCTTTTTCATGAGAATTCTGGTTTGCAAGTAGTTGGATACAGTAAGGCATTTACTCAGATTTATTGGGCATCTGTACACAGGACTACTTTAATTACAGCTTAAAATTAAATTCTTGCTTCACTGGCCACTTTCTGGGTGTGTGCTGGCAATTGAACACTAGTCGTGTTTTTTTCTTTTTCTTTGGGGGGGTCTGGTCGTGGGACCTGAACTCAGTGCTCTACCACTGAGCCACCTTCCCAGCCCAACTAGTCATGTTTTTTAAGTGCTCAGTTAGGTGCATGTTCTTAGTGATTACTGTGTTGGATAGCACAGATAATAATGCAATGCTTCAGTGATGAATAGGCTTTTGGAATACTGTTATGCTAGGTTCTGGAGATACCAAGATGAACATTATTGATAAGGTGTCCGTTTTCAAGGTGCTTGTTCTCATGAGATGATAGTAAACAAATAAGTAATATCAGTTCTAACAATAAAAATGAAAGTAAAGCAGGGTGTAGAGAGAGTATGGAGGAAACAGGTAAGGAGCAAGAACAGAATGATTGGCTCTTAGAGAACAGAATGGTAGGCTCTCAGGAAGTATTCTAGGGAGAAAGTAAAGTGGAGGAGCAAGTCTGTAGCAAGCACATTTTTTGCCACTGGAATAGCGTGTGCAAAAAGTACTTAGGTGAGAATCAGATTGGTATATCTGAGGCCCAAGAGACAAACTACTGGGAAAATGATGGAAGATAAAGGAGTGGTGGCAGATGAATCTTAGTGAGACTCTGTTTCCTAATAAGGGAAGTTTGATTCTTTTTTTCCCCCTAGTCATGGGTTTTGAACTCTGGACCTGGGCGTGGTACCTAAGCTTCTTTAGCTCAAGGCTAGCCACTTGAGTACCACTTCTGGCTTTTCTGTAGTTAACTGGAGGTAAGTCTCACAGACTTTTCCTACTTGTCTGGCTTTGAATTGGGATCTTCAGATCTCAGCCTCCTGAGTAGCTAGGATTACAGGCTTGAACCACCTGCACCCTTGCAGAAGTTTGATTCTAAACTAATGGTAATGAAGGGTTTTGATCAGAGGATCAACTTTTTACTTATTTTACTTTAGTATGCAAATTTACAAAAGAGAAGAGTAATGAACTCCTATGTGCTAACTATTGTCTGTAGCAACAATCATTGAATGGATGACTAGAGCTGTCCTATACATATATGTACCCATTTTTTCATATTTTTGGCATCATTTTGAAGCATGATTTACTCTTATTAGAAAAAATTATATTAAGTGAAGTAAGCCAGGCCCAAAGAAACATAGCTCCCATGGTTTCCCTTATTTGCAATGACTAATGTATGTCTGAAACAAGCAGAAACGGTCAGATACGTTGATCTTAGGCAAAATGAACCCCAAGATAAGGACTCATGGTTTTTCTTTCTTGCTATTGTTTCTAACATTTATAAGATGATTTTTTGTTGCTTTGTCTGTCCCTCCCTCACGGTATAACCCCTGTTTTCACTGTATTTGATGTTGGTATAATTTGGGGAGGGGAAGGGAAAAAACAAGTTGTTTAAATAGGGATACAGATGGACCCATTGCAACAGTGATGTACAAGACGTTATGTTGAAAAACCAACTTTGGCGCAGGGTGGGGGAGGGGCAGGGATGGGAAGGGGAAACAAAGGAGGAAGCAACAATGCTTGATAAGAAATGTACTCACTACCTTGCTCATTTAATTGTAACCCCTCTATGGTATTTTCACAATAAAAAACTTATTAGTAAAAAATTATAATTTAATAGTTTCCTTTTGTAAACACATATTTTTTAAATTTCCCATTCTACAAAACAGTATATGAATACAAAGTGTGACAACATTGTCACCCATAAAAGTTAACTCTATGGGTTGGGAATTTGGCTTAGTGTTAGAGTGCTCGCCTAGTATGCATGAAGCCCTAGGTTCCCTTCCTCAGTATCACATAAACAGAAAAAACCAGAAGGGGCGCCGTGGCTCAAGTGGTAGAGTGCTAGCTTTGAGCAAAAGAAGCTCATGGACAGTGCCCAGGCCTAGAGTTTGAGCCCCAGGTCTGGTTTTTTTTTAAAAAGATGATTCTATGTGGATTTAACTTTCAAGGGTGAGAAGAGAAACAGAGATCTTAAGTAGGAATGATGGTGGCTCAAATTAGAATAATAACCAGTGGTTGAAACGGTGAAACGTAGCAGGGTCCTGGTAAAGCCAGCAGTACCGTTGGCATACATAATGAAGGAAAAAAAGTCAAGGATAATGGCACACTGTTCAAGTCATTTACTGGTAGGAAGATTTTGGTTTTATGCATGGTAGATTTTAAGGTGCCTCTTAAAAGTTCAGAGGATATGTTAAATATATATTTGTATTTAGAATTGAACCCAAGCAAATGTAGGGATTTAAAATTGGGTAATCTAAACGTTTGGAAGTCAGAAAGAAAAACTCAGTAAAGGATATTAAGCAGAAACAGCTGAGTTCTAGAGTCAACAGCTGTTTTAGTATCTAAAGTTCTTCCTACATCCTAGGAAACCCTGCCAGAAAGGAATGGTTGATTACCCTGGAAATAATTATTCTTTCTAGAATTCAGACTGTTTCATGTAGGCAAGAATGTTAAATTTGCCAGTATTGCTCAAGCATTTGAAGTAAGTGCTCCATTTCTTTTTTAAAGTGTTAGATACCTTTAATAGACAATAATGAAATTGCTGGGGAATAGAGCTGTGGTTTAAATATTAACATAAACTAGAAGACTTTCTTATGTATATTATAAATACTATATTAGTGTTCCCAAATCAGAATTTGTTCAATCTTACTTACTCTTATTTTTCCTCTTAAGTAGCAGATATAGGTAAGAAAAGCAAAAACAAAACATAGAAAGGATCCGTGGATAAAAAGATACCTTAACATTTCTTGTTGATTTGTTAGAAGAACTATCATAAATGGAACAATGATAATAGTTGAATATTGACACAGTACTGAGCTTCTGCTTACAGTTCTATTAGTTATTTTGCATTTTTTTCCTCATGGATCTTCTAATCTTAATATTTACTTCAATAGGAGTCATGGCTTCGAAAGAATTACCTAGATGATTTCAAACACCATTTTATGAGTAATTTTCCATATACTTTAAAAGAAATAACCAAGCATCGAAGGAAAGATACAAATAAGAGGTATTGTGAATAATTTTCATTGTATACACTTGTAAAGCTGTATAGTCTGAAACTCTTAGAAAATAATTAGCCTTAATCTCATACTTTCTGTATTATCAAGTGTTTGAAACTAGATTTTAAACAAGTTATTTTGAGCCTTAGGAGTAACAATTTTTAAGAATTGAAAAAAAGTTTGTAGTATCTTGTGCTTGATGAATGTATTATATAAGTATGAATTTAGTAAAAGTTGCTGAGGGTAGCTTATTTAAATGAAGCAGTATGTAATTGTTAAAGCTGAGTATTTTAAAGGTCATCTGGAATAAATGCTCTCACTTATAAATGGAGAGTAAAAATAGTATTATCCTGAAGAAAAAGGGATAATTAGAGCAAAACAGAAAGAGATGGATTAGAAGATGGGAAGATTAAAGAAATAATCCTGGCAAGTATTGAAAATAGTTACTTCAGTTGGGAAAAGATAAATGTTAGAACACATTACATAATAAAACTTGACAAGCATGTACAAACTAGAACAGTATAGTTGTACCCAAATGAATAAACACTTGAAAGGGAACTTAAAGTCTACAAGAAGTTTCTCAAGTATATTAAAGAGGCTGAACTGGAGAAGCATTGAGGTCCCTTGACTATGGTTCAAGGGGTATGCCCAGAAGACATAAGGCTGTTATTATATGAAACTTTAATTCATTAAGTTCTTGTTTTGATTTTTATTATAAGGAGGGTATTTTAAAAAATAAGTACCTTAAGATGTACTCCTTGTTCTTGTACTGATTTAATTTACATTGTTAACAACCTTGTTAGAGTCTAGTAGGAGATAAAAACTCTTATCACTGATGTTTTTGTTTGGTTGGTCGTGGGATTTGAACTCTGGGCTTGGGCACTGTCCCTCAGTTCTTCAGCTCATGGTGAGTGCTCTACCACTTGAACCACAGTGCCACTTCTGTTTTTTCTAGTGGTTTATTGGAGATAAGAGTCTCAGGGACTTTTCTGCCCGGGCTGGCTTTGAACCACGATTCTCAGATCTCAGCCTCCTGAGTAGCTAGGATTACAGGCGTGAGCCACCCGCACCCAGCTCTATCACTGATTTTTAATAGAGTTTAATATAAATTATTTCACCATAAGTATTAGACTGGAAAGATACAAGGTAACAGTAAGGTATGGAGGTTGCAACTGTAGGAAGCAAGTAATATCTCTAGAAATGAAAAAAAGGAAGAAGCTTGGGGGAAGGGAGTTGAAGTTTTGACCTGAGAAAAGGATACTGTTGAGCCCACATTCATGTGTGGACCTCAGTGGAGAAGGCTCTGTCAGGTTGGGTGCAGAATTCTGAAGTTCTGGCTGGCTATTTCTGGTATTTTCTAGTGGTATGGTGTACTAGCTCTGTGTCAGAAAAACTGCAAGCTGAAATCACAATGATTACTAGAATGAATAGCTAGTTGCCTGTAAAAGAGATATAGGTTGGTATTGGCAGCATTAGGAGACGGAAACCAGTGCTAGCAAAGAAATAACTTTCTGACTCCTTTATTGATAGAGACTGATAAGAAGCTAGCTTCAAAGAGAAAAAGATGTGATACACAGTCCTTGGCCTAGGATTACAAAGTAGAATGTAGAGGGTGAGTGGGAAGCTGAGAAGAAATAAGAGATCGTATTCCTCCATATGATTTTATATAGAGTAGTAAAACTTTTTTTGTTTGTTTGAGTTTTTTTTTCTATCTTTTTTTTTTTTTGGGGGTCTGGTAGTGGGCCTGAACTCTGGGCCTGGGCGCTGTCCCTCAGCTCTTCAGCTCAAGGCTAGTGCTCTACCACTTGAGCCACAGCGCCACTTCCGGCTTTTTTCTTATGTGATGCTGAGGAATGGAACCCAGGACCTCAAGCATGCAAGGCAAGTGCTCTACCACTGAGCCATCTTCCCAGCCCTGGTTTTTTTTTTAACTGTATTTTTTTTGTCTTTTCTTTTTTGGTACTGGGGATCGAACCCAGGATGTTGCACTCGCTAGGCAAGCACTTTGCCACTGAGCTACATCCCAGCCCTAGAGTAGTAAAACTTTTAAATGCATACTGTGTTCAATAAAATAAGAGTACAGTGTAAGAGTATGTAATTAAAAAAAATAGAGTATATAGTAAAGAGCATGTTCTGATCTTTCTTTGAGAAGTGGAGGGTTCTATACTGCCCTGATTAAGTGACATTTGTGCCAAGATACAACAGGTAAAGAAGGGAGACATTAACTTTGTATGTGGTACTGTGCAGTAGCATTAGGTGCTTGTACCTTTTTGTGCAGCCATCACTACCAGGCATCTCCAAAACTCTCCCATCATTCTAAACTGGAGCTCTGTACTCAATAACTGCCATACTTCTGTCCTTCATTCCTTGGTAACCAGTTTGCTTACTCTAGTTATTTGATATAAATGGAAGCATATGGTACTTTACCTTTTGTGTTTCATGTTCTTCCATGTCATAGCATGCACCAAAATTTCATTCTTTTTTTTTGGGGGTCCGGTTGTCGAGGCTGAACTCTGGGCCTGGGCTCTGTCCCTCAGCTCTTCAGCTCAAGGCTAGCGCTCTACCACTTGAGCCACAGCACCATTTCCGGCTTTTTTCTTTTTGCTTATGTGGTGCTGAGGAATCGAACCCAGGGCCTCAGGCATGCAAGGCAAGTGCTCTACCACTGAGCCACCTTCCCAGCCCCAAAATTTCATTCTTTATCTAGAGTTTTAGAGTAGTTCTAGGTTCATATAAAATACAAAGTTTCCATGTACTTTCTACCTCATAGCCTCTCTGTCAATACCTTTTACCAGAATATTACAGTTGTTATAGTCAGTGAACTTAGACTGATATATCATCACTCAAGGTGATAATTTACATTAGAAGGTTTACTAATGGTGTTAAATGTTACATGAGCTTTGACAAATATATATATGGCATGTACCTATCCTTGTAAACTGATACAAGAGAATTTCACTGCCCTGAAATTCCTGTGTTCTGCCTAGCCTGTTCATCCTTCTGTCCCCAGCTTCTAATTTTTGGTGTCTCCATAATTTTGCCTTTTCCAGAATGTCACATAGCACACAATCCTTTTCAGATTTGTTTCTTTCACTTAGTAATAGGCATTTAAGGTTCTTCTGTCATTTAATAGCTTTGTAGATTATTTCTTGATAGTGTTCAGCAGGGCTCTATTGCATGCTCACATGCATACACATACATTTTTGTCAGCGGGCACTGGTTTGTTTTTACCTTTGGCAGTTGTGAATCTGCTATAACCCTCATCTTCAAATAACTGATCAAGTTCTTATTTTGTTATATATATGTATACACATATGTATATGTCTCTCAAAGGATAGAATTTTCACATTATTGAAGATAGTTTTAGAATGAATGCAGAGCAAACTCACTATTTAAACTTGGGTATTGGTTAGAGATACCGTAATAAAAATTAATTTGTGGGACTGGGAAGATGGCTCAGTGGTAGAGTGTTTGCCTTGCATGCATGAGGCCCTGGGTTCAATTCCTAGCACCACATAAATAGAAAAGGCCAGAAGTGGTGCTGTGGCTCAAGTGGTAGAGAACTTGCCTTGAGCTGAAGAGTGCAGGGAGAGTGCCCAGGCCCAGAGTTCAGGCCCCACGACTGACAAAAATAAATAAACAAATAAATAAAAATTAATTTGTGAACAGACATTTGTTTCAGTGAGAAAATAAGACGTTTCAAGCAAAAATGGGCATTTTAGAGAGAACATCTACTTACCACAAATCCTTTTCTTTGTTTTCATCTTTATCCTGGGTGGGTCTGTTGGGAGCTTCTTTTGTAGTAATTTTGTTTGGCTTCAAAATTTTTTTTGTATAAAAATTTGATTTCTCTGAAGACAGCAGATAAAAAGTATACTGAATCAAGTTATGAAGCAAACAAAATATACTATTAGATAATGACATTGTATTTTTTATTTATTTATTTTGTCAGTCATGGGGGCTGCACTATGGGCCTGGGTGCTGTCCCTCAACTCTTCAGCTCAAGGCTAGCACCTTACACTTGAGCCACAGCGCCACTTCCGGCTTTTTTCTGCTTATGTGGTGCTGAGGAATTGAACCCAGGGTGTCATGCATGCGAGGCAAGAGCTCTACCACTGAGCTACCTTCCCAGCCCTGACATTGTATTTTTTTTTTTTTTTTGGGTCCGGTCGTGGGGCCTGCACTCTGGGCCTGGGCGCTGTCCCACAGCTCTTCAGCTCAAGGCTAGTGCTCTACCTACTTGA